CGTAAGCAAAGTGAAGCAAGATGAGGTCAGAGCTCTTTCCTCTGTCTCTATCTGACACTGTCTTGCAAAAAAGAAATCTCTCATTCATTCCTCTTACTGCCTCAGTTTGAGCTTTTTCTGAAAGTCACATGCCATACTGCAAACTGTAGGCTAGGGACATGGCTAAGAATAGAGTTGCACAAAAACATCTGGCTCATAAACAAAACCAGCTAACATCAGTTTAGCTCTGGGTTTACAGAGAAGGGAGAAATGGATTGTTAGTAACTTCACTCTCCAGCTGCTTTTTCACCTGGGCTTTTCCCCCCAAACCAGCAAAGCATTGCCTTTCAAAGTGTTTGGCTTGATAATTGTTTTGTATGATAGTTGACAGTGAGGGCACTGCTCTTGGTTTAGAGAAGGCCTAGGTGAAGGTCTTGGTTATTAATCTGTCTAGAGCAGTCTCTTCCCCGTTTGCTGAAAAAATGCAAACTAAAGAGTTCACTTCAGTGGATGCAGGATTATGATGAACTTTAGATCAGCAGTGCCATAGGATCATGCCAATTTTGAGGGGAAGCTGTCCAAAAACTAAGCCTTATTCAGTCCATCTGTCCATAGGACCCCCTTGGAGCCAGCCCTGGTGGGGTCTCACAAGAAGCAAGCCTCTGGCTTTCCCAGCAACCTGTAGCACTCCCCAGCTCAGACAGCTCCTTCTTTGCTCACCTCCTGAGAAGGAAAGTGTTTTCTTTTTCAAAGGGGAAGGGAGTCAGAGTGACTACTTCCCAAACAGCATGGTAAATAGCTGTGCTCTGAATGAACAGTCTTCAATGTGCCACTACAGTTCCCTTTGTCCTTCCACAGACTCCACTCTATCCTCCTTGAGACTACCCTAGTACCCTTGTGTCTCTACTCTGTCCTCCTCGGTACTACTCCAGAGGGGTGGCAGGGAAGGGGCTGGGGGAATAGCCTTGTAAGGGTCAGGGCAGTCAAAACAGCATGGCCCCTGGGCTGTGTTGAGTGGCTAGGTTTTCCCAGCTACAGGTCTGTGCTGTAAATGTGTGTTGGTTAACCTGGCCTAGTGAACACCCTTGCTAGATCAGGTTAACCCTTTGCAATCTAAATTTAGCTCACCTCAAAGGTGAATTAACTTTAGACTGTGTGCTATTTTTAGGGTGACCTAAGCCCTGTGAACACTTGCACACCAGGGCATTTTGATTGCCCTAACCTGTGTTATGGCAATCTAAATATAATCCTTGCATGTACCTATAATGTCATGGGCAACCAGTCCTAGGTTCATATAATCCTTGTATGTACCTATAACGTAATGCAGCCTGCTGCCAGGCCCAGACTTCAATCATCCTCTGTGGTGAATAGGACATCTAGGTGTCCTACTTACAAAACTATTTATAGCACTACAATGCCACACTGAACCCCCACAAAGAGCTCCCTGCAACAAATGCAGGCTAAAACTCAGGCCACCTGGCTTTTTTTTTACACAGTCAACAACTTTTCAGACCTGGGGGCTAGAACAACTCTGCTCAGGTCCAAGGTGGGCCAAGGTTTTGATGCAGCCACATTGCAGTGGCAGTGAGAGCTTTTTCCTGCTGCCCTTCTCCCTACCTCCTCCTCCCCAGCTGCCATGTGGATGCAGCTCTCCACCCAGCCCCAATAAACTCCACACCACTGGGCCCTGGCAAGGGTGCAGGAGACGCTCCTTGCCACCAGCGTGATGCTAAAGACCGCTGATCCCTGCCTTAGGGTACTGATGAGCAACCTGGAACATCTGGGAACTGATCATAGCAATGATTCATTTTCCCCCTTACTGTGCTTTACGTACATCATGGTAGAGAACTCCACCAAGGGCCTGTATGTCACTGCTGTACAGCCTGAAATCCAAGTGCAGCCTTCGCAAAGTACTGTGCATCATCAGGACCACAACAATTAATGGCATCTTCCTGCCTACCAAGAAAACTTACATCCACATTTCTCAGGGTATTGTGGTAATGAGAAGAAAACCCTGATCTAACCATTGTGAACAAGGGGGAGCAGCGCTGTACACAGGCATGGGCAAACTGGACGGCCACCTGGGACCCAGACAGACAGGGGGCCTGAAAATGATAATTTTTTATTATTATTATCATTATCTCTGGTGAAGCGGGGCCTGATACTAAAAGTTTGTCCAGGGCCACCAGGAGTTATCCTCTCAAAAAAATTCTTCAGTTCAGTGGTACTGTGTCACTCTCAGTCTTTAGTTCTTACTGAAAAGTGCAGCCAAACCTCATCTGGAATCACTGTGGTTATGATTCATAGTCTAAAAGTAAAAGAGCCAGGAATGAATATGTAGCCCACAGAAGTAGATGGTTTTCTATAGCTGGCCTATTGAGGCTGTGCTGATTTTGTTTTCCAGGCTTAAATAATATAGTGGCAGTTCAAGATGCAGCTCTTTCCTAACTTGAATTTTGGGGAAAGAATTCTTTGCTCATCCATTTCTTTCTTTCCCTTCAGTTTTAGTTTGCTTTAGTCATTCAGTCAGTTGTTTCTTTCACATCTTTGTTCTCTCCTTTCACAAACTCTCCATCATTCAGTGAAACCAGGAAGCTGGACAAATTCTTTTGCAGAAAGAAATTTATGATTAAACCACTTCAAAAGTAGGAATTTTAGAGCCGTTTATTTGACGGCCTGTATGGAAAGAGTCTGTGGGCCAGATTGTGCCTGACCCTGCTATGGATGTAGAAACAAAAAACTCCCTCCCTCCCTTTCCTTCTTGCAGATGCCAGTCACAGTCAAAGCCCTTCTGTTCCTCCTGTCATCCACACGCAAGAGGAAGCAAACACTGCATCTTGTAACCAAACAGCACAGCATTTACACTGCTCCTTCATTTCATGTAGTTTCCAGAACTGTGATGCCTAGCATCTTGCCATATTCAGCTGGCATCTGGTATCATCAAATGCATCTCAGCACATCTCTAATAACTATTATTTGTTTAAGTATTTATACAATTCAGTGACTTTAAGAAGGCTGAATCACAGGAGACTGGTTCTTAGTCCAGGACTGATTTTCTCCCATTTAGGTCCAAATTATTAAATATTATAAGAAATATGGAAGGGCTGTGGTGTCAGACTGCTTTAACATCGAGGCAGAAGCAGAGTGTGCTGGGAGCTGTTCTATGATGCGGCTTAGAACTTCGGAGCTATTTGGAAAAAGCCCATTGTTCAGAACTGGAGGGAGAGCAGACAGCAGCAGTCTTTGCTCCAAGTTAGTTATGGGATCTAAAATCCAGCAGGGTTGTACAGGGACATTTTGCTGATGTCTTTCAGATGAGAGAGGTCATTAAAAATCCATCTGCATATTTCACAGGAGCTTGGAATACTAATCCTGGAATCCTGACCAAGTTCCAACTCGGGTAACTGATTTCTGCTGTCTCATGTGGTACAATATTCTCCATTTCCCTTTGTGTAGCATGTCTCCGCACTGGATCTGTATTTCATTCCTCCCCACATATTCAACTAAATAGCAAAGAACTTCATTTGGCCCTTTTCTTGGTGCCCTTGCATGAGTCTAACTAGTGGTATTATATTAGGCTCATCTGAGTAGACATGGACTTCGTGGCTGCCTATAGATGTGCTCGTTCACATTCTAATTAGAACGCACTGCAGCAGACTTGATTAACTGACCCTGCTCTGAGCTGTAATTACTACGCTCCAGCGTCACCTCACTGTCACGTGCATTTAAGCCCTTCTGTTTCAAACTGGCCATGGGTGTGCTTTAACTAAACCTTGTCAAGTGAGCTTTAATTAAAGTGCCCCCACAGTCATTTTGAAATGTGGGCGGTGGGTAGGGCTTAATACATGTGATGGTAAGCTGTTTTAATAAGTGGCTGGCTGGGAAACGCTCTAAGTAAAATGCCCCCCCACCTCCAAGCACATGTATAGGCAGCCTGTATGACTCTCTACATCCTCTCTGTGCTTGACTACATACAGGTCTTTTGTTACCTTCTTCGCTTGTTAAGGGGGACAGGTGCTCTTTTTTCCATTTGTATTTACACTCTAAAAAAAATTTAGAATGATATATATACAAATTCCTTATAATCCACTTTTATATCAAGGGCACAACATTCTAAGAAGCTCACGATGCCTATTTAGATTAAGTAAATTAGTTCAACAAGAGAAAATGGGGGAAAAAATAAAATATTTTATTTCTCTCATCAGCAGGACTTAGTCTAAAATACATGTCATAATTATTCAAATATGACCTCAGAACACCAATCATTGTCTTAACAAAATATAAAACGTAGAACATAGTGCGTCTCTCTGGGGGCTCTGGTCAGAATTCTCTTATACAAACCCTAAAATAATTTAAAAATAAATAAATATATAAATACATAAAAGGACTATGATTCCAAATTCAAGAACTCAGGAAAGGAATAGTTCTTAAGGGTTCGTTGCTGGAAGAGAACTGTGAAGTTCTTAGGGAAGACAAAATATCTGGCAAATGTTCTAATACATCATCAGACTTAAAAATAAACTTTTACCATAATCCAAAAATACTTATAGTTTGGCATAAAATCACTCTTTTTCATCATTTCCTGTAAATTCCACTTTTAATATAACTACTTTCCTGTGAAGTAGATATATCTATCTATCTATCTAGATAGATAGATATATATATATATCTCATAAACAGCCAGACACACAGTGCTTCTGCCAGAATGCTCCCTATTATACTCTTATTATGACAAAAACAATCTCCTAAACTCAGGGTGGAAAAAATAAAAGACTATAACTGGATAACCAGGAGTTTTCCTTTTGTTTTTTTGTGGTGCATGTAGGAGAGGGAGGAAAGGGAGCTATTTTGACATCCTTGACAACCCACAAAGGGATTAGCACATGACACTCAAACTCATCACAATACCTGGGTAAGCAGTGATGTCCCAAGACCACATACTCAGTGAGAACATGGGGGTATGAAGGTCAACAGCTGCCATGCATGATGGGTTAAAGCTTTCAATCCTTAGAGCAAAAACACCAGTGTCAATCGAGCCCATTGGAACCCACTAAGCCACCCTGAACCATGTCAAGGACCTCTGGAGGAGACAAACTACTTAATGAACTTGGCTACAAGTTGGGCCAGACCCTAGGTGAGGGCAGTTACTCCAAGGTGAGGGTGGCCACCTCAACCAAGTACAAGGGCCCGCTAGCCATCAAGGTGGTTGACCGGCGTCGGGCACCCCCAGACTTTGTACACAAGTTTCTGCCCCGGGAGCTCTCCATCCTGCGAGTGATTCGGCATCCCAATATCGTGCGAGTTTTTGAGTTCATCGAAGTCTGCAATGGGAAACTGTACATCGTGATGGAAGCAGCATCCACTGACCTACTCCAGCTGGTGCAGAGGCTGGGGAAACTACCCTGTGCTCCTGAAGCCCGGGACATCTTTGGACAAATTGTGAGTGCTGTGCGCTACCTACATGACCGCAATCTGGTGCATCGGGATCTCAAGTGCGAGAATGTGCTGCTTACCTCTGATGGCCGCCGGGCAAAGCTCACTGACTTTGGCTTTGGCAAGGAGGCGCATGGCTACCCTGACCTGAGTAGCACTTACTGTGGATCAGCTGCCTATGCCTCGCCTGAGGTGCTCCTGGGCATCCCCTATGATGCCAAGAAGTATGATGTGTGGAGCCTGGGTGTGGTTCTGTATGTGATGGTAACTGGCTGCATGCCCTTTGATGACACCCACATTCATAGCATGCCCCGGCGCCAAAAAAAGGGGGTCCTGTACCCAGATGGTCTGCCCCCCCTGCCTGAAGCCTGCAAAGCTCTCATTGCCCAGCTGCTCCAGTTCAGTCCAGCCTCCCGGCCTGGGTTGGGCCAGGTGGCCAAGAACAACTGGCTGAAAGGGGATATCTAAAAAGAGAAGTGTTCCCTCACTACATTCCAGCCCTAGGCCCATGTTCAGGGTCAGTTCAAGGCTCTGAACTTGTGCTGCTGCTGTGAGGAAAGAAAGCTCATCTAAAGGATATTTGACAATGTGGAAATGGAGATGGAACTAGGGCCATGTAGAGGTGTAACCGCCATATGACATTAATAGCAGGTTTTCAAGTCACAATGAGACCATATGGTGCTTAGAAGAAACTGTTAAAGAAGCAACCATCTTATGAAGCTGTTACAGGTTAAGTTTCAAAGGGCAGTGACCATGTTGAGCAAGTGGCAAGAATGGAGAAAGTGGCTGCTCAAAGAAATACTGACTGCATAGAATACAAGAATATCACCAGTTTAGCAGTGGAAGCAGGGAGGAGAGGGCACCCCTGCAGGCAACTGTGGGATTTTACTGCAGAGCCTGATGTTGCCAGTCTGGGGTAAAGTGGTGGGATAGATGGCAGGAGAGAACTTTGTGGACAATAATAAACTCTGAAGCTCCCATGTGGCCACCTTTTTGTGCTGCTTCCTGTTTCTTTTCTTCCAAGCCTCTGAATGAGTTACCCTGTAGCCTTTATCAAGGGGACAGTGGCAAGAGTTATGTAGGAGAAAGGAACCTCCCCCAGTTCTTTGTACCATTTCTTTTGCTGTCTGTAGGGTTGTCCCATACTTCCACCTTCTAAAGCCAAAAATCTTGAGTGTTCAAAATCCAGATGTGAATCCAGAGCCAAATCTTTGGATTGGGCTGCAACAGAACCCTAAACCCAAATGCGACTGAACTTTGTGTAAGATCCTATCTACTTTAAGACAGCTATTTCTTGACAACTGTTACTGGGAGACATTTGGAGGCCAAAAAGAAAAGGGGGAATGACAATGCCAGAGCAATACATTGGACAGGAAAAAGGACAGAACTGGAAATTATAGCTATTTTACCAAAAATAGAGACAGTTTGTATTTCCAGACCCAAAAGGAACCTAGATATTGTATATACAGTTATTAACTATTCTTAAATTGGGCCCCAAATCTCTCATATAGGTTCCCTATGGCAAAACCCTATTTTTATAGGACCTTCCACTAATGGGGAAGCATTTTGAAACATGTTTCAATGGACGTTTTAAAGACCCAGCTAGACAAAGCCTTGGCTGGGATGATCTAGTTAGGGATGATTCTGCTTTGAGCAGGGGGATGGACTAGATGACCTCCTGAGGTCGACCCTCATTTTTTATCATTTCTATGATCTAACCCTTTAACAGTTCCTTTATTTAAATGAACTCTGACTGAATTTCTTCTGAAGTAAATGGGAAGGCTCCAAGTTGGAAGCCTATCAAACCTCCTGGTCACATGGTGACATTCTGTTAAACAAATGTGCACTTTTCTTGTTATCATCATTTAAACCAACAAAACACAGGGGTGTCAAACACAAAAAATAGACTCTGATGCCTGATATGTAATTTATTCCTAGTGCCTAATTGAAGTTCTGTAGTTTCAGCACTGAAGCACATGGATTCATAACGTCAAAAGTGCCTTTGAAAGTTATGTGGTTACAAGAAGACTTTTTATTCTCACCAGCCAGTGAGGAAACATCTTTTCTAGTGATCTTACTGCAGAAGGGAGTGACACAAGAGCAGTCCCCACAGGCAGCAGCTGTTCATGCTCTAGTCAATTTAGAATCAAGTCCCATGATGGATGCAAGTATACACATGGTCCTCGGTAAGATGGAAATGAAGTCTACAAGGGCTCATTTGAATGTCATTTGAAAAGAGGAACATTTCGAAAGAGCAGCAGCTTTTATGTTCTAATTGTTACTTGTGGACAAGCCTGGAACAATATGAACATAGCAAAACTGCTCCAACTTTAACACTGCCTTATTCAGATAATATGACAGAGGATACGCCTAGAAACACATTCAGGGGCAGTTCCTGTGCTCTATTTAGACCAGGGGTGGGCAAAATATGATCCCCACCCAGCCTCAGCACAGGGGGCAACCTGGGCTGTGGTGCATGTGGCCATTCCCAGCTCCCCTGGGTGCATGGTGGGGAGGCGATGGCACAGCGGCTAGACTGCTCTTCCCAGCAGCCCTCACAGCAGCAGCTCCTTCCGGCTGCTGCTGAGCC